ATGTATCTTAAACGACCGGTTTCAGTCTACAGGCAGATTTCATTTTCCATTCAACCCTGGGTTCAAGATCAAGAATTCACTTGCATGGATTAAATCCCCAGCGTGACCATTTAAAACTTGAACCAGGAGACTCATCGGCCCCCCCCTTTAGAACCCATTAAATGTATCAAAATACAAAACTTAAAAATGGGTTGGCATGTTGAACCTTCAAGTCTGAAATGGATTTTCTTGCATTGCGCTATTCATATACATGATCTTGAATTCTAACCAATTATTTGATTTCATGATACTCTGCCTCCCGGGGGTGTGTGTGTGTGTCAGAGTCCAAGGTGGGTACGCCCTCCAGTCTCCTTGTTTTCTTTAGCACACCCCACATGCATCTCAGCACAGGGAAGGAGAGGAGTTCAGAACACCCTTACCCTTCTCTCCCCAGCCTTGAGTCCACCCTCTGACTGGTTAGGTGTGGCTGGGCCTCCAACACTGCTCTGCGGGGCCATATGGATGTGGGGAGGGTTCTTCCTGCCCCACCAATGTTGCTACAGCCACGTGGCCTTGTCCTGGCATTAATGGCAAGCAATGGAGAGGCTCCTCCAGCTGTGATGTCGATACAGCCTTCCAGCCAGCCCACAACACTGCAGATAAGTGTGGGAGGGCTTTGTCAGCCCTGGACACTGTTGCCTTTAGTGGGGAGAGATGAAAATGGCTTTCAGAATACCTCTTGCGGTTAGATTTCTAACTAGGAGGGGCTATGGCTTAGGGGCAGAGCATCTGCTTGGCATGTAGAAGGCCCCAGGTTTAATCCCATGTCTCTCCCGTTAAAAGGCTCAAGCGCTAGAGAAAGTGAAAGACCTCTGGACAGCCATTGCCCATCAGAACAGATAGCACTGAGGTTGAGAGATCAATGGTCTAGATCTGTGTAAGGCAGCTTCCTGGGACTAGGCTTCATTCTCCTGTGTTTGAGGCTAAGGACGGCTGAGATGAGTGGGCTTGGCCCTGCCTTTCTGTTGGATTCTGCTGCCGACAAGGCTATCTCATAAGAACATAAGAACATAAGAACATAAGAGATGCCAATGTGGGATCAGGCCAAAGGCCCATCCAGTCCAACACTCTGTAACACACAGTGGCCAGAAATACCAGTGCCATCAGGAGGTCCACCAGTGGGGCCAGGACATTAGAAGCCATCCCACTGTTGACCCCCCCAAGCACCAAGATGACAGAGCATCACTTGCCCCAGAGTCCCTATCTATACCTTGTGGCTAATAGCCACTGATGGACCTCTGCTCCATATGCTTATCTAATTCCCTTTTGAAGCCGTCCATGCTTGTAGCCGCCACCACCTCCTGTGGCAGTGAATTCCAAGTGTTAATCACTCTTTGGGTGAAGAAGTACTTCCTTTTATCCGTTCTAACCCGACCACTCAGCAATTTCATGGAGTGCCCACGAGTTCTTGTATTGTGAGAAAGGGAGAAAAGTACCTCTTTCTCTACCTGCTCTTTCCCATGCATAATCTTATCTCTAGCAAAAGGAGACCATTGGCTAAAACGACTGCTTTCATTTTGGTGCGCGGTGCTCTTTACTTGACAGGACAATCAACAATGAAGATGACGACACGGCGTTCAAAACGGTAAAGTCTGCCCCATCCAATTTTTAAAAGTTCAGTAATGGTATAAAGCTTGGGCGCCGGGCACAGAGTACTCATTTGTCATAATGAATGGTCAAGAACGGCCGTTCCAGCGAATTAAATAACCTTGCGTACATTTAAGAAAGGATGCCAGTTAGGAACATAGCTCAAATAACACTGTGGGATTTAACTAACCTTGTTCTTGGCCACTGGCGACTACTGGCATGTAAAGCTGCTTTTAATTGTTTTCCTGCGGGCAAGACCGGCCGCCTTGGTTGCTGCTGCAAAAATGAATTTCATGGTGAAAGGATCTCCCCCCCCTTCTCCAAGCATAGAATTAAGGCAAAGCAAGGTGTGCATATGTAGTGGCGTGTAACCACCATTTGCTTTGCGCAGGTGTTAGCCCAACCAGCTGCCTGCGTGCACTGTTCTCCTTTAATCAAGGACAAGGTTAGTAATATTTGTTGTTGAGGATCAGCCTCCATGTCAGAGCTCCCAAGTACTTACCTTAATTCGGCGGGGGATGTATAGTTCTTCGCGGGACCATTCCCGCGGGGAAAACACAGGTGCTGCACTACTCCGTCACCCAGACGTGACGTAGGCACGTAGCCGGGCGACGCTCTAGCAATGGGGCTGGAAACTCGATGGTACCATTGAGTTTCCAGTCCCATTACCAGAGTGTTGCCCAGCTACGTGCCTACATCACGTCTGGGCGACGGAATTGTGCAGCGCCTGTGTTACAAGCAAGAATCTTCCGGCGGGGAAGCATGTGTCCCCCGCCGGTTCGTAGGTAGGTACTTGGGAACCCTACTCCATGTCCAAGTAGGGCACCGGATGTTTGAACAAGGAGTGAAGGAGCAAAAACAGCACTGTGCACTTTCCATAAAGCTTCTGCATCAGAGTGTGGGCGTTCAAGAGCAGAAGGGGGGGGATGGCCTGTATCAGAGTGTGGGCATTCAAGAGCAGAAGGGGGGGGGAAATGATTTTCAAGATTGTCTGCCTTGTGTTTGCTGCATTTACACATCTGGCTGATCCCTATAGACAGGAGTATAAGTATAAGGAAATTAGGTGTATATCTGGTCACAGTATAAAAAAGAACCCAGAATTGATACTCTTGAACCTTAGAAATGAAACGGCTTTATCCACCATACAAAGAAAAAGAATTGCTTTATTATTATTATTCGCAGCCAAAACAACCATCGCTTCAAAATCGAAGTCAGAAATTAAATTTTAATAAAAAGTTATTTAAAAAAGGAAAAGAAATTAGACCACCCCTAAACTTATGGTACAGAAAGTTATGGAACTTATGCATAATGGAAAAAATATCCGACGTAATGAATCCAACAAGATCTAATGGCAGATATAGTGAACAAGGGTGGACCCGCAAGAAACTTGCGGGGAGTAGGCATTCCCCCACCTTTGCTTCCTTCCCTCTCCCCCTTCCGCTTTCTTTCTCTCCCCAAGCCAATCCCTCCTTTTTCTTTACAACCCTCCACCAAGTCGATCTCTCCCCCCTCCCGCAAGCCATCCCCCTTCTTTCTCCCCCCCCACCAAATACCCCATCTTTCCCTTTCTCTCCCCCCCCCCAAGCCAATCACCCCCTTCTTTCTCCCCTCCTTTCCCCCTAACTTTGAGCCCGGCAGCAGTGGCAGTGCCTGGGAGGCCGAGCCAGTGCAGGCTCAGCCATAAAGCCACCCGCCGCTTTCCATCCCTCTTTGCTCCCGGCTTCCCAAAAGTGGAAAAGCCTGCAAAGGCCTCGTCGCTAGGAAAGCCGTTGCTAAGGGCAGTCACCTGCTCAGAACTTTCCAAGGAGAGAGAAAGCTCTTCGTTGGTAAGTCCTTTCTCTGTGCATGAGCAGAAAAAGCTGTTGTACTTTGGGGGGGGGGGGATTTAAATATCCCCGTATCCTTTTTTAAAGTTTTTAGATTTTTCTGCACAGCTGGGAAAATCTCCCTGCCCCCAAAGTGCCCCTGATGTGCGGATTTAGATATCCGCACTGAGGGGGCATGTTGGGAATTAGATATATAGATTTACAATGACATGGCTACCGATCTTATCCCATCTAGTTTCTCAAGTAACAAGACCAGAGATAATAGACCCTCTTCGTTTGTGGTGAAGGTTGATGTCAACTCTACGCTTATGAAAAATGCTCTTTTTTATGCTGTTAAATTTATGTACACTTATCCTGTAAATGACTGTTATTACTTGCTATTGGGATTTTGAAAACTGAATACATTATATTGGGGGGGGGGAGATAGGAGTATAAGCAACATGTGGAAGACTGGATGCATCCGATCCAACCCAAGTGTCTCTGAGAGGCAAAAAGGGGGGCACATAAATCAATCAAAGTATTCTAAACCCAAGGCTGTACTCTCAAGCTCACACACATATGCATAAGAACTACTTGATTTCCTTACATGGTTGAAATACTGGGGGTGGGGGGGGGGATGCTGGCATGGGATCCTGAGTAACGGTAGCTAGGGAGACTTCCAGAGGGATAAAGGGAATGAGTCAGAAGATCACAGTGCAAACCTCGACTCTCAATTCCCTTCCCTGGTGCTTTTCCAATGAGTGCTGCAAACTGTGCCATAGCAACAGTGCCGCTGGGAAGGGCCCGTGGCTCACCGACAGAGCACCTGCTTTGCATTCAGAAGGTCCCAGGTTCAGTCCCTGACATTTCCCGTTTAAAAGAACAGGTGATGTGATAATCCTTTGCCTGAGACCCTGGAGTGCCGTTGCCAGTCGAAACAGACAATACTGACCTTGATAAACTAATAATCAGTATAAGGTAGGGCCTACCAAGTACCTACCGTGAATTGGCGGGGGACACATAGTTCTTGGCGGGAACATCCCCGCGGGGAAAACACACACGCTGCACTATGCTGTCACCCAGACGTGACGTAGGCACGTAGCTGACGCTCTAGCAAGGGGGCGGGAAACTCGATGGTACCATCGAGTTTCCAGCCCCATTGCCAGAGCGTCGCCCGGCTACGTGCCCAGCGTGCTGACGTCACGTCTGGGCGACAGCATAGTGCGACGCGGCCGTGTTACACGCAAGAATGTTCCGGCGGGGGAGCATGAGTCCCCCGCCGATTCGCGGTAGGTACTTGGTAACCCTAGCAGAAGGCAACTTCACACGTTCACTCACAGCAACACTGTGGCCCACGTCCGTGACGTCACCATGCCGGAAGCACAACCCTACCTTTGAAAACTGTCTGGAAACTTTAACTGACCAAGATATGGCAAGCCACAGCACTGCTGGGGGTTGTATATAGGGACTGCATCACCCTCCTGCCCCTTTTGTTTCCACCCACAATCTGAGTACTTGATAAGGCCCAGAGAGAAAAGGGAAAGGGAACCGGAGATCGCACAACTCTACCTGCTCAAAGGCTTGGTCGATTTCTTCCTGCAGGTACTCCAGAAAGTTTTCGTTGAGGTCAATCAACTCCTGTATGTTGCTAAAAACCACCAGCAGCTGGTCCTGTGTTAAGAGGCCAGCTGCTTGCATGGGGAGGTAGAACTCCTCTTTGATAATGCGCAGGTCCTCCCCGTAACTGGCTTCAGTGTTTACAAACTCCAGCACTGACTCCTTCCGCTCCATCCGGCATCTCAGGCACTTCTCGCAGAGATTGGCCTGCCTCTTGTTCTGGTTCTGGACGTCGGTTTCCACTGGGAAATCTCTTCCCCCGCAGTCAGTGCATGGCTGGTGGGCTTCCCATGCTTGTAGGGAAGTCAGCATTTCGGACGCTTGGCTTCTCCTCCACTTCCGTGTCAGCACTTGGCTGATGCCACTGTCTGCCCGCTCCATCTCGGCTGATCTCATCCGTGGCGCCCCGCCATTGCCGGCATCGGCACTGTCCCTCTCGTCATTCCCACCCACAATGCCGCTGTCGGCACTGAGACTGCTGATGTTGCTCCAGCGGTGCTTGGAACGAAGGGTGCCGCCCAGACCACGCTGGTTCTCGTCTAAGCCGCTTCCATGGTTGACACTGGCTTTTGTCATTGCTGGGCCTGAGCAGGAACAGATACGTAAACATCACTTTCAAGCCGTTGTTTGCTCGACTGTGCTAAGAGGGAAGCCCCCCATTATCTCCCTTCCTTCATTTATCTGAAACTAGGGGTCATTTTGTAGAAAAAGAGGTGCAGGAGCTCATTTGCATAACTTATTTGCATGTGCCACACCCCCTGACATCACCGGAAGTGTGTCAGAAGGCAACACCCACCGCTCAGGCTCCACTGGACTGTTTTGGATTGCTAGCTATTTGGGGGGGGGGTGTGGGGGGAATATGCAGATCTGTCCTCGCAGAGGAGGGAGAGCTTGTACCTGAATAAAACCTGGTCTTAAAGGTGCCACTGGACTGATTTGGGCTGGGGGGGGGCTCTGCAACTTACCTGGCTGCTTCTTGCTCTGACTGAGGGCTGCTGGGAGCAGGGGGTGGGGCTTGTTGCATGTGCCCACCCCCTGGGCATTTTACTGCCGGAGCTCCGCTCCTGTGCGCTCCTGCAGGAAATGACCCCTGTCTGAAACACTTATTAGCAGCCTTTCTTCCTTACAGAACTCAAGGTGGAGTACAATATAGTTAATACACACAAAATGGAATACATAAAACCAAAAAATTTAAATGATAGTTTAGGGCTGCTGGTAAATTAATCAAATGGAGAACTAAGTAAAACTGTTCGACTGCTTCCTAAAGACGCACAGTGAGGGGGCCAGGGGCATCTCTTTGGGGAGGCTGTTCCATGATTGTGGGGCTACCACTGAAAAGTCCCTCTCTCGTGTCCCCAACAGACAAGCTGCTTGGACTGATGGGACAGTCAGGAGGGCCTCTTAATCCCTGGGCAGGGAACCTATGGGAGTAGAAACGAGCTCAACCTTACTCTCCCAGCAATGAAAGGCTAGTCCTGTTTTTTCCTGATGGGATGGAAGTACGCTGCAAAATACATGCATCTTCCCCAGACAGCAGAGATAGGGAGAACCTAGTTGCCGATGGGTTTGGGGCTGTGGCATCCTAACGCCACATTCCACACTTTAAGATGATGGCAATCATATGAGGTGAAGATTTTCCTATCTATCTCCATACTAGAAAAAGAGCGGCTGTCTATTTACCCCGACAGTGTCACAGTGATACATCTCCAGGGTTTAGGCTTCCCAAGTCCCCCCGGGGGGCGGGGAAACCCCCGCCCCAGAGGCCCGTTCCCCGCCGCATTGGGCCCTGGGGGGAACCCCACCCCAACGTGCGCGTCACCTGGAAGTGACGCAACCATGCCGGGCACGCTGGGGGCGGGGCCACAGTCATCTGAGGGAAAACTCTATGGTTTTTCCTTGGATGGTCATGGCCCCGCCCCCAGCGTGCCCGGCGTCGTCACGTCACCTCCGGGTGACGTGCGTGCGGCGCAGCAGTCTCCCGGTAAGGAGAAATTTCGACTTGGCAACCCTACCAGGGTTGTTGTCTAGGGCTTCCCCAGCACTATCACTTGACCAGGCCTAGACAACATGAACCACCAGGAGCCCATCTGAGACACGCCGGTCATGTGTTTGACAACTTCCTGTTTTGCGCGACACCCATCTTCTTAATTCCACAGCTCACAAAAGGAAGCTCTCCTTTGCAGTCAGGCTCTGGTGGGATTTAAATGTCCCTTTCTTCCTACCAACCTAGCAGTTCGAAAGCAAGAAATTGCAAGTAGATAAATAGGGACCACTTCAGTGGGAAGGGAACAGCGTTCCGTGCGCCTTGGTGTTTAGTCATGCCGGCCACATGACCACGGAAACGTCTTCAGACAGCGCTGGCTCTTTGGCCTTGAAACGGAGATGAGCACCGCAACCCTAGAGTCGGATTCGACTGGCTTTCGAGCAAGGGAACCTTTACCTTTACTTTTTACTACACAGGAGGAGCTGCGGTGGTTCAAGTGGTTAAGACGCTGAACTGCAGGCTGTGGAAGGTCAGTAGCTCAGCAGTTTGAGACCTGAGTGTGCCGCATGACGGAGTGAGCTCCCGTCTCTATTTCCAGCTCCTGCCAACCTAGCAGTTCGAAAGCAAGAAATTGCAAGTAGATAAATAGGTACCACTTCGGTGGGAAGGTAACAGCGTTCCGTGCGCCTTGGTGTTTAGTCATGCCGGCCACATGACCACGGAAACGTCTTCGGATAGCACTGGCTCTTCGGCTTTGAAACGGAGATGAGCACCGCAACCCTAGAGTCGGACTCGACTGGCTTTCGAGCAAGGGAACCTTTACCTTTTTCTCCCCCTATCCTAGGAATCCGTGAAAACAACAGGCAGGAAGCATCTGCTGGCTCCATCTGCTGAGCACATTTGTCAAACAATGGCCAAGTTCAGACTGGCAGTTTGCCCCAATATAGGCACAAGCCAGAAACGTTCCACAAACGGATTAAAAGGGCCGTTCACACAGGCACATCTGTCCGGCGTTCCCCAGCCGTACTCAACCCGTCTCGTAACGCTTCCCTCCCGAGTTTAAAAGACACCAGGTGAAAGTGGTATCAAACCCCGGAAAGCGTGATTATCCCACATCCATCCCGCTTCGAATGCGAAAAGCTGCGATCCGGTAGGGATGCACTTATGCGCATGAGCTCACATAGCCGGATTACCAGAAAAAGCCACTCACAGCCGCGCCTCCGGGCCAACAGTGTGAACACTCCCTTGCGCCTCCTCCCCGGTATGCTCCCGCATCAGTCGGTGCAGTGTGACCGGGAAAACCCGGAACAGTTTGTTCCGCCTCTTTTTTGCCATGACTCCCTCCCGCTTCAAACTGCCCGTCTGAACTCAGCCAATGATTCTAGGTCTTGCTCACCTCTCACGCTATCATTCAAGAAGCCATCAGCAAAGTCCTCCCGGCAACAGTCCTGAGCTTGGCACATGGAAGGTGTAACAGTACTGCCCTAAGTTGCATTTCCCCATTGCTGCATTTGCCAGGAACCAACATGGCTTTGTGTGTGCATCGGAGCAGCCTCATAACTTGCCAGATTTGGGCCCAACGGAATCTTGCATGTTATTAGCTATTAAAAGTGTAGGAGCAGTCAAGCACATAGGGGCATGTGCGGTGTCCCCCCCCCCCAGCCCTTGGCATAAAAGGCTGCTGCTGGCTGCAACGCATACTCCACGTGCAGGAACATTTTGAAGCGTGATCTAATGTTTTTTGTGGGTTGGGGGTTTTTTTGCAATCATGAACTCAAAAGCTCAGAACTCAGAGCAAGAAGGGCACACCAACACCCGCACAATTCAAAGAGAAGGCAGTGACCATACTATGCGCTCTCTCTTGCCGGTGCTTCTGGGCATGCTGCCGTGCAGCGGCAGCGATCTTCAGCTCCAGTTGTTTCCTCTTCACGGCATCTGTTGGCATCGGATCACTGAAATGAGGCCGCAATCGACACTCCCGCTGAGTTTTCGCGAAGTCCGGCGTTTCGTGGGAAATGTCGGAACTGGATCTGCGGCAGCTGGGGATGGAGTTCTGGGCAGAAAACAGAAGGGTGTGCGTGTGTTTCGCTCCTCAGAATACGGGGCACTCAAATATCCTCAGCCAAATCACTATGTGCTTTATACCACCTCCCCACCCCCACACCCCCAGCTCACTCTGTCCTTGGAGTCATTCCTGTGTTTAGGGCACAATCGCGAACGCAAAGAGGCAAAACAAGAGCTGTTATATTAAATACATCATGTGTTTGAGAAATATGCATAGTGGCGTTTCCGAGCAAGTAAGCTGAGGAGGACTCTAGGGGGAACCTAGACAGGAACATCCCAGTTTTACAGGGCTGTGCAAGTGGGATGGAGAATTAAACAGGGTCACATGGAAACAGGGAAATCTCTTCCTCTCCTGGCACATTTTGAAGGCTGACTATGCTGATATACATCCTACACAATTTAGCATATTTTCTCAGGCTCAGTTGAGTCTCCCAATTCAATATGGCCAGATGGCCCACTATCTTTAAAACTCAGTCCAGCCTTCACACCGTAGAGCCTTTACACTAGCCCGACTAAATGTGTTCCCTTCGAAAGAGCTTTCAGGTCGGTTTAAGAAAATTCCCTTTCATGAAAGGTTATGTTCTTGTCCTTTAAAATCCGTGGACTCAATATATATTATTTTTGACTGTCAATTTCACTCAGTCTTACGCAAAGAATTGCTGTCATCTTTATTTCCTCTTAATTAGGGTTCTAATAGGGAAAAAGTTATTCAAAATCTACTAAAGGATGATAATCCTAATATTACAGCTATAGCGGCCAAGTTTCTTGCCGAAGTAGTCAAAGATAGATCTATTCTAGTAAAGGATTGATTCATATTGCTTATGTCTTATATATCCATGCCGTGTTATTGTACATCTATGTCTTTTACTGCTATGCCATTAAAGGTATTTGACTTTGAGTTTACTGATATACGATTTTGACACTGCAGGCCTAGGCAGAAGTCAGTAGGGAGTCAATGAGCTTAGAAGGTAGTAACTCTGCCTAGAACTGCCCTATAAGTCTCTTTCAAACCGGTGTAACTGGCCTGGCTCTCAACCAAGCATTAAGAGAAACCTAAACACTGCAAAGGGCTGAGAGATAGCTATCATACAGCTTCCAGCACCTTGATACAAGAATGCAACTCACAGACCGATTTCACGCAAGAACTGTGCCGCAGTTGCGCCTCCCTTTGCCCCGCTTCTATTGGTCAATTTCCCAAAGCCGTGTGGTTGCATTTTCACCTGCGGCTTCGCCCGATTTCCCCCGCGGTCAAAATGCAGCCGCACGGCTTAGAGTAGGAAATTGACCAATAGAAGTGGGGCAAAGGGAGGTGTGACCGCGGCACAGCTCTTGTGTGAAATTGGTCACAAAGTTGTGTGGGGAGGGGAGGCCATGACAATTAAACCAGTTTCAAACCAAATTACATTTAGTGGGCCTGATGCATTTAAAATTAGTTATGACTATGGTCTTTTGAAATGAATGGAACAGATTCGTCCCAACTAAGTCCCGTTGTTCTCAATGGGAATTTGTCCCAACAATCTCAATCCAGATTTCGGCTGCAGACGAGACGCGCCTCAGGTTCTTCAGAATCAGGGAGGGTGGATGTGGGGACAGAAGACCAAGATGGAGAGGACAGAGTGAGGACTGGAGGAGGGCCACAACGGGCAGAGAACTACAGACAGGAGTGCAGAATGGTTGAAAGCTGCAACACACCACAAGGGTAGGTAAGTTCCTGGATCAACTGTTGTAAAACTCTTCTGTACCCCAAGGCATGAAACTCACTGTGGGTTGACGATGGTCCTCTAGAAAAGTGAGATCAGCTTTCTCAAATCCACCTGGTCCTTTGGATGGGGACTCTGTGGCGGTTTCTGCACTGCAACTGCACGGAAAGAGAAAAGATCCAGTTAATGATTCTGAGAAGAAGAAGAGATTGGATTTATACCCCACCCTTCACTACCCGAAGGAGTCTCAGAGTGGCTTACAATCCCTTCCCCCCCCCCACAACAGACCCCCTGTGAGGTAGGTGGGGCTGAGAGAGCTCTCTCAAGGACTGCCCTTGAGATGAGAGAACAGCTCTGAAAGAACTTATGACTGACCTAAGGTCACAGCAGCAGCTGCATGTGAAGGAGTGGGGAATCAAACCTGGTTCTCCCAGATTAGAGGTCACGTTCCTAACCACTACACCAAACTGAGGAGGGCTTGTAGGTTGGAGGTAGACCGTATTTGCATTCAGGAGGTTCCAGGTTCAGTTCCTGGTCTCTCCAGTTAAAGTGTACTAGAAAAGACCTTTCTCTGCCTGACATCCTGGAAGACTCCTGCTGGTCAATGCAGATGACATATAACTAGATGGACCAATGGTCTGAACTGGCACAAGGCCATTTCCTATGTTTATATAATACGTCAACCACAGTCTAGAGCCAAGTTCAAAGGCAGCAAGGAAAAGATACAATTTTAAAGGAGCCCTTGAAAATGGGGGAAAGCAACATTTTAATATAAAAGTTTATATAAAGTTTTAACTGGGAGAATTTTTTTATTCCTTCAGTTTTTCTTGGCTATTTAATTTTCAGTGAGACTCAGATAACTTTCTCCATCATCACAAATGCAATAAAATACAAGAAAGTGCAAGAAAGAGATTTCCTTCTGTTACCAGACATCATATCATGCATCCTGCCAAAAATTTCCACTGACAGAAGGAGTATTAACTCCCCCCTACCAGTAAAGCCCCAAATGCCCCCTAGAAGGGGTCTGCAATCGGAATGGGAAAATTAGTGAAAATTGCCTCCCCCCTTCCAAAGATGGAAATGCTCTGAAAGATCCAGCCTCGTGTATAATTTCTCCTCCATAACTGATAAGCAGATACCTTCAGGACCAGGAAAGAAAGACGGCACCACTCACTCTGAGTAGCTACTACTCACAGGATTAAAAGATGCAGAAATAATAATACTATGCTGTTACTCAGCGCACTTTAAGTGTTCACTACAATTTGCAGTCATTCGTGAAATGAATGCAGGAATTCAAGAACCTTTCCAGATATTCACAACACAAAAAACGGTATACTCTTCTCACTTGTAACAAGGGATTCCTACGGGAAGGTGCTTACAATTTGGGGACATTCTTGTTACTCATACAAAGAATAAAGAGTCCTGAAATTATCTCTTTTCTATGATAGGTAATCATATAATGTTCCAGACAATGGACTGACATTCAGCCCCGACTTCATAAAACAAAATCTCTCGTTTTACTACTCCCAGTGGGGGTCTGTCATACATTACCTCATGCAATATATATAAATAATATCTCTTCAATTACTATCAATGCTTTATGTAGTGTAGAAAAATAAAGAAATATTATGTTTTGAAGGATGAGCTGTAGCTTTGTGTTTTAACACAGGTTGGATGCACACTTCCCTCAATACTGTGCTATTTTGCTTATTACAACAGCCTAACATCCAGCGATGTGTGGATCCAGCCACATACAGAATGAAGTTTTATTAGAGAATAGTTCTTGTTACAAATCAAGATAGAAAACAGCAATACATATTCAGGTGGGTAGCTGTGTTGGTCTGAATTAGCAGAACAACGTTTGAGTCCAATGGCACCTTTCAGACCCTGAAGACCTAGAATAAAACTTTGTTAGCATATGTATTTCACATAAATGGCAGTGATTACAGATCTATAATCTCTCTAAGATTCAAGCCTGTGGATCAGGGGATTGTGCTGTTCTTCTTATTCCATCTGTGTACAATTAACTTCATATAAAAGATTCAACAGAGTTTTAGAAAAAATGCATTAAGAATTCCAAGATTAAATATGAGGGTACAATATTTGCTAGAATGATGGATACTGCCATATAGAAACTTTCGACAATGTGAAGTCCTGGCAGAACAAACTAGCCGTTTGTTCTATGAATATACTGTGCCTTCTGGCTGACAAAACATCAAGATGTGTATAAATCTTAAAACATCAAGATGTTTTGTAGAAGGAACACTTCCAGTTAGCTAAAGAGAAACAAACATCACGCGTGAAGGGCCTGCGCAGAACAGCGATTTCCACTTCAACCTGACTGCTGTAACACTTCCCTTTAAACTTTAAAGGAACACTTCCTTTTAAACGTTTACCACCGAAAATGGCCTCCGTGAGATCCCGAACTCCTCTAAAGGCTAAAACTAGGCACCATTTAAACATTGTTTTTAATAACCCTGTGGCGGACCTCCGCCTATGCGCACACCGCCAACGCTTTTTAAAAAATGGCGGGCGAAAAGCGGAAGCCTTGGGCAGCTTTCGAGCGGGCAGGGGGTTTAAACCGGAAGTGGCTCGACACTGGAGGCACGATCACACAGGGGGGAAATGCGGCTGGAACTGGAGAATCAGAAAAACACCACTTGGGGACCTGGTATCAAAATACTCCGGGTTAAAGCTGTTTTGAGCCGGAAAGCGACGGCTGGGGACGGGAGGCAGATGTTGACCGTGTGATCGCGCAGATAAAATCCGTTTCTGAGGTGGGCCGAAAGCAGACTAAACGGCCCGTCTGAACGCACCCAATGTGTGGTTAATCCTGCCTTGTGGAGATCTACAACACTGGCATTACAGAACTCCCCCCGCAGCGAAATAACGTGGTCCCGTCAAGGTCCCGTGGTTAGGGGGGAGGTGCCGATCACATGACGTGCCAAAGAAGCGGCACAGCGCGGCAAACAGGGTTGTGGGGGTTTTTTTGTAACCTGAAGTATGCGCATGCCCCGTTAGGTGCTTGTGCACATCCCTGGAGACTTTGAGAGAAAAAAACCTTTTCGCAATGGGGCATGGGCGGGCGCCAGATGCCACCGGAAACGCGATCAGACGCCCGCCCTTGCCCCGCGGTTTCTGGAAACTAGTACCTCCGAGGTACTAGTTTTTTACCGTGCGTCTTCGGCAGGAGGCCTCGGGTGAGCCACGGGAGCTCTACGCTTCCCAGATGTGGTGGTGAGATCACGCCCGGAAAATCCGCCCATCTTCCGTCCCTCTAGCGTGGCTAATGCTCCGTGTGACCGGGGCCGTTGATACCTTCTTATACAAAGCAACACAGTGTGGCAGCCAAGCAAGAAGGGGGGGGGGGGTTCAGTTTTTTTGATATCATAACTAGTTCCTGTTGGTGAAGGGGTGAATTACTGAGGCTGGATCCAGTGAAGAAAGGAGTCCCCATCACTCTACCTTATATTCAGGTCCACATCTCCACAGCTCCTTAGTGGTCCATATCCATTTTTAATTTGCTTAGGGAACCTCTTCCACTCACCTCTCCATCTCTGAGCAGGGTATTCTCTTTGAGGCACCCTATACTACCACCCTCCATCATCTCTACTGGTTGGGCTTATCTGCTATAACTAGATTCAATATGGTCTTCATTATTCCACACCTTTAACATGGGCTGTTCTTTTGATCATGAAAAAACAGGTTCCTGGTCTTTTAATACACAATATTCCAAAGAACCCTTTAGTTCATGGGCCCATCCATCCCACAAATCACTTTCACCATCATTCCAAACATTTTCCAAGTCTTCACTTATTGTCTTATTCATCCGAAGTCCAAATTTCCTCGAACATTCACTCAGGTACAGTTCAGTAATGCCTCTGGCTTTTTTGTAGAATTCAGATTCTTAGATAGATTCCCATTTCAAAGGTGAATTAAGTAGCACACCAGTATCCCTATGCTAGTTCTGCCTGAGTGAAAAATCCCTAAGCAAGTTATGAGAGGCTTTGTAAATGTGCATGATAATAAAAATGGCATATCAGAGTCTCAGAATTAAAACCTGTTTATACAGGAGCCAGGTAAACAAAAAAGAATTATCAGAAGGGAAGTTAAAAATAAAGGACAGAGCTACCCCATAGTATTCTGACTGTGCAAAATTCCAAGACAACCTTGGGATGGAAGTCCTCTCTTTGAGATACACTTCATATGAATAAATGGCATCTATCTATAATCTATCTATCTATCATCTATCTATCTATCTATCATCTATCTATCTATCTATCTATCTATCTATCTATCTATCTATCTATCTATCTATCCATCCATCCATCCATCCATCTATCCATCTATCTATCCATCCATCCATCCATCCATCCATCCATCCATCCATCCCTGATTCCCTTTTTTAACCCAACCCTTCCTCCAAGGAGCCGAGGGAAGAATACACAGTTCTTACCTCCTCTTTTTTTTTGTGCACCATAAGCTGGGGCTCTTTTTGTAGCAGGAACTCCTTTGCATGTTAGGCGACACACCCCTAATGTAGCCAATCCTCCAAGAGCTTACAGTAGCCCCTGTAAAAAGAGCCCTGTAAGCTCTTGGAGGATTGGCTACATTAGGGGTGTGTCGCCTAATATGCAAAGGAGTTCCCGCTATAAAAAGAGCCTGGTCCATGGTCACTGTTGACAGAATGGAATGGTCTCCCCACTACTAGTCTAACCATACTGGCCCCCTATATTAACCACAGGAGTAGGGTAAAGTTGTGGGGTAATTCTACACTGTAACCTTTTTTACCATGTCCATTCATCCCTAGATTAGGAAGGGGGGAGCTGAAATACAGCCTGCTCTAGTCACTGCTCTTTATAGCCTGCTGACGTCACTGTTCATAATATTCTTTTTAAAAATATTATTATTGTAATGAGTCAATTATAAAAAGGTTTCCCCCCCAAAAAAAGGGCAGTGGCTTTTACAAGCTACGAAGTCCTTCCTCCTCCACAGACTAAGACATGATTATTTTCAACACTCATAGAGAACAGAAAATAACTAATCATGCTGGAAGTAGAAGGAAGGATTGAAAATTTAAAGGGGTCAGTAGCTCTGAGAAGCTTTGGCACTCTACAAGGCATTACAATAACAGTTTCCCCCCCCCCAAAACTCCAGAACTTAAGTTCTAAAAAAAGGCAGGAACCCAACATAGAAAATACAGGAATGCAGAACTGACTACAACATTTGTGTATGGTCCATAAAAATGAGCTGACAAACCTTGGCAATGGTACTCTAAATGACTAACATGACTAACACAAAACCAACCAATATTTCTGCAGTTGCTGTGCATGTACTGTAACGCCCTTCAAGACAAACTGCCACATGAGGCAAATAGTTCCACGGACCTGCTTATTGGGTTCTATGTGAGATCTAAACAAAGTCTGAGTCCAGTGGCACCTCGCGGGGAGGGTGGGGTATAAATATAATGAAATAAATAAATAAGACCAACGAAGTTTAATTCTGAGTATAAGCTTTTGTGTGCATGGACACTTCTTCAGACCTAGACAGGGTACTTCTCTTCCCCAAATCAAGCTATGGCCTATCACTGGTATTTTCTGTCTATGGAGGACTCCTCTTTCCTTAAGAACATAAGAGAAGCCAATGCTGGATCAGGTCAATGGCCCATCCAGTCCAACACTCTGTCACACAGTGGCCAAAAATACCGGGTGCCGTCAGGAGGTCCAGCAGTGGGGCCAGGACACTAGGAGCCCTTCCACTGATGCCCCCCCAAGCACCAAGAATACAGTGCATCACCTGCCCCAGACTGAGAGTTCCTATCTATACCCTGTAGCTAATAGCCACTGATGGATCTCTGCTCCATATGTTTATCTAATTTCTTCTTGAAGCCGTCCATGCTTGTAGCTGCCACCACCTCCTGTGGCAGTGAATTCCATGTGTTAATCACTCTCTGGGTGAAGAAGTACTTCCTTTTATCTGTTCTAACCCGACCACTCACCAATTTAACTGAGTGCCCATGAGTTCTTGTATTGTGAGAAAGAGAGAAAAGTACTTCTTTCTCTACCTGCTCTATCCCATGCATAATCTTATAAACCGTGATCATGTCACCCCTCAGCCGTCGTTTCTCCAAGCTAAAGAGCCCCAAGCGTTTTAACCTTTCTTCATAGGGAAACTGTTCCAACCCTTTTATCATTCTAGTTGCCCTTTTCTGCACTTAGCCCAATGCTATAATAGCCTTTTTGAGGTGTGGTGACCAGAACTGTACACAGTACTCCAAATGAGGTCGCACCATCGATTTGTACAGGGGCATCATGATACTGGCTGATCTGTTTTCAATTCCCTTCCTAATAATCCCCAGCATAGCGTTGGCCTTTTTTATTGCAGTTGCACACTGTCTAGACATTTTCATGGAGTTATCTACTACAACTCCAAGATCTCTCTCTTGGTCAGTCTCTGCCAGTTCAGACCCCATCAATGTGTATTTATAGTTAGGATTTTTTGCTCCAATGTGCATCACTTTGCACTTGGCGACATTGAACCTCATTTGCCATGTTGATGCCCACTCGCCCATCCTCAACAGATTCCTTGGGAGTGCCTCACAATCCTCCCTGGTTCTCACCATCCTGAACAACTTCGTGTCATCTGCAAATTTAGCCACTTCACTGCTTACTCCCAACTCCAAATCATTAATGAACAAGTTAAAAAGCATCGGACCGAGTACTGATCCCTGTGGTACCCCACTGCTTACCACCCTCCACTGAGAAAATTGCCCAATTACACTCACTCTCTGTTTCCTATTAATTAGCCAGTTTTTGATCCACAAAAGGACTTGTTCTTTTATCCTGTGACTATTGAGCTTACTTAGGAGCCTTTGATGAGGAACTTTATCAAAAGCTTTCTGGAAGTCAAGGTAAACAACATCTATTGGGTCCCCCTTGTCCACATGTTTGTTCACTCCCTCAAAAAACACTAACAGGTTAGTGAGACAAGATCTTCCCTTACAGAACCCATGCTGAGTCTGCCTCAATAGTATTTGTTCATCAATGTGCCTACTAATTCTTTCCTTCATAACAGTTTCCACCAATTTACCCGGTATCGACATCCTTCTCTTATCCTATCTTATCTTATTGCCCCACATACCCAGTACCAGAAATGTGGCCATTTATTAGGCTTCCATGCTTCACTAATAGCTTCCAAGCCCATGGTTTTGGAATCCTTTATCCTGAGTGATTTAAAGTGAGTTCCAGATTGGTCAGAGGCTATGTCATACAGTGGGGCTGAAAATGACTCAAATACTCCAGTTTCTCACTTCCACTGAAAGGATTTCATAAATCCATATGGCTGAAGCGGCCCCAAAATCAGTTCCTTGTGTTCATTACACTAAGATAGTAGTAAAGAGTGAAAATGACAAAGGGGCACCACACCATAAGAGTGCCTGTAGGAACAGTTCAGTAAATCTCAGTTACTCCAGTTTGCTCAAGCATCTGAGTGAAGGTACGTAGGACTGAGGAAAGTAATGCAACCCCTCCTCTCAACTGCTAGGCAACTAACTTGGGTGAAATTCTTCCTAACACTAGCCATCATAGCTAAAATCCACAGCCTGGTTATATGTATCAGTTAGTTTTCCAAAAAGGGAAGATAATGTATCTTGGTCCTCTGATTTAAAATCCGTTTCCCACATCATTGGCAATGAAGAAGAAGAAGAGATTGGATTTATACCCTGCTCTTCACTACCCAAGGGAGTCTCAGAGCGGCTTACAAGCTCCTTTCCCTTCCCCTCCCCACAACAGACACCCTGTGAGGTAGGTGGGACTGAGAGAGCTCTGACAGAAACTGCTCTTTTTCAAGGACAGCTCTGACAGAACTATGGCCCAAGGTCACATCAGCAGGTGCAAGTGGAGGCGTGCGGAATCAAACTCAGTTCTCCCAAATTAGAGTCCGTGCACTTAACCACTACACCAAACTGGCTCTCTATGGCAGTTCAATGCCTCAATGGAAGAAGATTCCCACAGACCTAGATGGGGAAAGCCACCCAAACATCAATTTCCACACTGCATAAGGGACCAACCTCAGTTCTACAACATATAAATTCAGACACAGGGAGTTCTAAAAATTCCTAGTGCTAACTAAATCTGCAAGGACATTTGTTAAGTACTCTTCACCTGAAATTCTTTCAGGAATGCAAGCAGAATTGATTACCTCTTCTTAATGAGGTCCAGGGCGGAGCCTATAAATTCATCCTTCATTTTCTGTAGCTTAGCTCCGTAGCTGGATATATCTGTTGCTTCTAACAGCAGTGGGCAGCAAGAAGACCGAGTTTCAGACGCAAAGGACTGTCCGGCATGGTGAAGTACTTCGCTCAGTTGTCTTATATCTAATTCCTGCTTGTCCCCTTCAGTAAAGTTCTTCCCTCCCTCTGTAGGACCAGCAGCAGACTGTAAAGGTGACCTTGGGATTGGGCTAGAACAAATGGGGCCTGGGATCCTATCAGAACTTGGCATCTCACTGTGGCAATCTCTTGCCACTGGCATATCCATCAGGCAGAAGCTCCTGTCCCAGGTGGATGAAGAATCTTGATAGCTACCCAAGTCAGAAGCATTTTGAGTATTTTCATGGAACACGTCATCGTACTCATCGACAGTCGAAACCATTTTTTTGGCAAGGTCCTGCTGAGTATCTACACAAAGGTTCTGGTTTCTCTCTTCTAATTTTTGGGTCCCTTCCTCCAACTCTTTTGCCGCTTCATCACTACCATCTTGCAAACACGTTTCCTTGATTCTCATCCTCTTGAACTCCTCAAAAGTGGGTATGTACAGCCGCTCTTTGCAGTCCCCTTTTCGGCTCAGTTCCAGTGCCCTTCTGGTGTCTTCTCCCCCCTCACAATCTTTTAGGGATCCAGTGGTTTGGGATTTGACCATCTCCTGTCCTTCAGTGGGACAAAGAAGAGCTAGGTTGGGTGAGCTGTTCTGCCTTCTGAACTGCAGCCTTCTCTGAGCTTCTTGTTTGATGTCTTCTGGATTGGTCAGCCTACGAGAAAAACAGGGGCGATGCCTCCCTAGTGCCACCCACGGCCCATGAGCAAGGGCAGCATGTTGCACAAATATGGCACAACAGTTAACTGAACAGCCATTCTTATACTGCTGGCACATCTGGCATTCTGAACACTCCCTTGCAACCAGGTCATTCAAGGAAGCTTGAGGTCTGAGAGGCTTGCAAATCTCTGTGGTTTTAGTACTGTGGATCCTAAGTTTCTCCTTCAAGTCTTTTTTGACATCCCCGTCCATGGACGAGGGAAAAAGCCATGGAGGCACTTTGGCACAAGGGGAAAGGGCTATGTCTTGCGTTGAAGGTGGTATTTGCTTGGATGGAAAAGGAAAGTGTCGGCAACAGTCAGGTGAGCTGGGGGCTGGGGTACCTTCCGTGGAACACTTGGACCAATGTGTTGTGCCTTTGTAATGGAAAACGAGTTCATTGTCTACATTCCCACAGTGGGGATGGCAACCCGAATCAGCCACTGAGGCCCAACGTAGATCCTCTACACTCCGATAGAGATGCGTCTCTGTATTGCCGTTTGCTTTGCCTACGGGATTAAGATCGCCAGTAAAAATCCGAGGGTCTAAATTCTTCAGCGGATGCATGCTGCTAACTGAGAAACCCTTTAAGCCATATTGCGCATACAACTGATTATTCCGGCAGCTCAAAATTACCCGGCAATGCTCCTGTCTCTCATCAATGTTGATGTATGTCATAGCAAACTGGCATGGATGTTCTAACAGACAGACGATCTTAGAAGGGAGAGGGCTGGAGGATGTTGCCGGACTGCTCCAATGCTGCTTGGAAATCCTGCCCACGGACAGCAGGGCTCTGCTCCCTGGAGATTCACATTAAAGAGTAGATCTATCTCCTCAGTCATCGCTGTGGACTTGTGTGCCAAACTGAAACCTGGTAATGCAAAGAAGAAGAAAAAAGCTTACAAAACAGGCCTGGTATTCAAGAGACATAAGCCATTATGCAGTGAGTGATCACAGAACAAGTACAAGTGAAAGCAACATTAAAAAAAGGCTTAATTTAGAAGAAGAAACCCCCCAAAAAATGAGATACTGACTGAACATAACTAGCTGGACACAACAGCAGAAGACCCATTTCTTCAAATGGTGTCCAGTGGTGGAATACTGAGTGGGTGACTTCAGGCATAGACACTGCTTATGGTACAGGGTTGCTGAACCTCTCTTCCATCCACAGTTTTCCCCTTAACAACTTGTGGAACTACCATAGAACGTAGTGATGGATACTAGAAGAGCCAGTTTGCTGTAGTGGTTAAGTGCATGGGACTCTAATCTGGGAGAACCGGGTTTGATTCCCCACTCCTCCACTTGCACCTGGCTGGATGACCTTGGGCAAGCCCTAGTTCTGATAAGAGCTGTCCTTGAAAAAGAGCAGTTTCTGTCAAGAGCTCTCTCAGCCCCACCTACCTCACAGGGTGTCTGTTGTGGGGAGGGGAAGGGAAAAGGAGTTTGTAAGCCTCTCTGAGACACCTTTGGGTAGTGAAGGGCGGGGGATAAATCCAATCTCTTCGTCTTCTTCTAGAGGGCGTTCAAGGGGGATTAGACAAATCCATGGAGGATTAGGCCATCAGCTGCTATTGGCCATGATGGCTAAATGGGCCCCCAAGTGCAACTCTGAATGCGGGTTGTTGGCGGACAGCAACAAGGGGGACGCATTGGCCTCAAACTAAAACTCCTAGGATTCATGGGAGGGAAGCAAAGCAGTATAACACCGTCACAAAGCAGATCTCTTCAACTGGGGTAAAATGGATGTTTCTGAAATGCAGAGGGGGGTCTCTGTAGAAACCATGATGCTAGACTAGATGGATCATTGGTCTGCTCCAACGGAACTCTTATGATACCTAGGACAGTTCTTCTCTGATTTGCTTATTTTCAGGGCTATTCTTGGGCAGGAACGCACAGGAACGGAGTTCCGGCTGGCTTCAGAGCTGGCCATGCCTAGTACAGCCAAAACCTCTGTGTGCGTGGCTACAGAGGGAAGGCCTGGATAGCGACCCCCCCTGAAGCGACTCTGAGGCGGGGGGGGGGCTGGAAGGATCGGGGAGGCATTTAAATGCCTCCCCGTGACTTCCCTGGCCTGTCCAAGGGCTGGCTATCCCGGGCTCCCCGCAGCCGCGGGGTGCCCAGGCAAGCCAAGGGAATGCATGGGGTGTGGCCTAATATGCTAATGAGTGTCTGCTGTTGGGTGTGGCCTATTATGCTAACGAGTTCCTGCTGGGCTTTTTCTACCAAAAAAGCCCTGCTTATTTTCATCTCAGAGTCCAGCTAAGAGAAGATCACTCTGAAGCGTTGTGAGGGGCAGTGAGCAAATGAAGGTGTGAGCACCTCCCTCTCCACCTCATGAATACACATGAAGAACTCACTGCCACAGGAAGTGGTGGCGGCTACAAGCATGGACGGCTTCAAAAGGGAATTAGATAAGCATATGTAGCAGAGGTCCATCAGTGGCTATTAGCCACAAGGTATAGATAGGGGCTCCGGGGCAAGTGATGCTCTGTGACATCTTGGTGCTTGGGGGGGGGGACAACAGTGGGAGGGCTTCTAGTGTCCTGGCCCCACTGGTGGACCTCCTGATGGCACTGGTATTTCTGGCCACTGTGTGACACAGAGTGTTGGACGGGATGGGCCTTTGGCCTGATCCAACATTGGCGTCTCTTATGTTCTTATGAAGCTAACCTTATATTGAATCAGATTCTTGATCCATCAAAACCAGTGTTGTCTACTCAGATGGGCAGCAGCTCTCCAGGTCTCCGGTTTCACGTCACACACTGCAGGGGAAAAAGGGTGGGGGACTCAACCCAAAATGTAGCTGTGAACTGAGAGGGTCAAGCTAGCATATAAATTACATATATATATAAAAATACAAATATTTATTAGGGTGTACACAAAACTAAAACATACATACGGTTAAAAGAAACAGATATGAACAGATGTTGCTTTCTTATATACTTTGCATTTGCTTCGAGTTTGTATAGTGGGCCATAGGTAGTAGCTGTGCAACTTCTCCAAATTATTCTGGTAGTGAATATCCCATTCGTCAGGATGTGTGTCACTTCCATCAAAGGTAATAGCATGGCCCACTATACAAACTTGTAGCAAATGCAAAGCATATAAGAAAGCAACATCTGTTCATATATATACACACACAAAATTCTTTAAGCATGTATTTCTGGATGCGTGTCATTGCAAAATAAAGAATATTGACCACAAGGGGTCATTTCGTAGAAAAAGAGGTGCAGGAGCTCATTGGCATAATTCATTTGCATATGCCATACCCCCTGACGTACCCGGAAGTGTGTCACGTGTAGATCTGTCCTCACAGAGGAGGGAGAGCTTGTACCTGAATAAAACCTGGTCTTAAAGGTGCCACTGGGCTGTTTTGGATGGCTAGCTATTGGGGGGGGGGGACGTGTAGATCTGTCCTCGCAGAGGAGGGAGAGCTTGTACCTGAATAAAACTTGGTCTTAAAGGTGCCACTGGGCTGTTTTGGATTGCTAGGTATGGGTGGGGGGAACAGATCTGTGCAGGCAGGCAGGAAGGGCCTGGGAAGGCGGGTTGGGGGGGGGCTCTGCAACTTACCTGGCTACTTCTTGCTCCTCGTGGCCCAACTGAGGGCTGCTGGGAGCAGGGGGCGGGACTTGTTGCATGTGCCTGCCTCCTGGGCTCCTTACTGCCGGAGCTCCACTTCTGTGCGCTCCTGCAGGAAATGACCCCTGTTGACCACCGAGGAAGGCCCAAAGGGGCTGAAACGCGTATGGTCCTTAGGTCATAGGTTTTACCCATCAATTGGATATGTATAACTATCAGCTTTGATGATATAAGCTTTGAGTCTCATATTTAGACTATTTCTTTTAACCGTATGTATGTTTTAGTTTTGTGTAAACCCTAATAAATATTTGTATTTTTTAATATAATTTATATGTTAGCTTGACCCTCTCCGTTCACATCACACACTGCCTGGTCCTTTCAACTGGAGATGCCAGGGATTGAACGTGGCACACACTTCTTGACCCCATCAACAGAGTAACTCCTATGGCCTATTTCTACCATCTGTCGAACCACGAATACAGGAGAACATTTACGCTTATGCGCTGGGATGCTCTTCCCTTAGCGAATACAGAGGGAAAGTATAAGAAAATCCCATTCGAGGAACGCATAGGCCCCTGCTGTAATGTAGGCATCGAAAATCTAGAACAGGTCATGTTCGACTGTGAGGCCTATAATAATCTCTGGAAATCTCTTCCATTCCCCAAGTTCTTACCTCTAACCAGTAGGCAAAGAGCCCGTATTATGAAAAACCTCCTCTCAGGTAGGCACTTTTAAGAATTAAAAATCACAGTAAAACAAAAGTTTGCCACATCCACAATACAGCTTTTGCGGAGGCTGTGTGCTTTGAGTATCAAGAACAGTTACCTACGAAACCATGAAGATGCTCTTCTGCTAATAGGTAGGACTGTTCTTCTCATAACAGCTATATCTTCTCAGGCTGAATAGTGGTAATTCAGAAACCATTGACAAGCTTCCTATCTAGCTTCCTAATCATTGTCCAGCAGGTCTTTCTTGCCCACATAGTCTTTAATTTAGGGTCAATTCACAAATACATGTTCACCACTAAAAAGGTAAAGGTTCCCTTGCTCGAAAGCCAGTCGAATCCCTCTAGGGTTGCGGTGCTCATCTCCGTTTCAAAGCCGAAGAGCCAGCGCTGTCCGAAGACATCTCCGTGGTCATGTGGCCGGCATGACTAAACACCAAGGCACACAGAACGCGGTTCCCTTCCCACCGAAGTGGTACCTATTTATCTACTTGCAATGTCTTGCTTTCGAACTGCTAGGTTGGCAGGAGCTGGAACTAGAGACGGGAGCTCACTCCGTCATGCGGCACACTTGGGTCTCGAACTGCTAAACTACTGACCTTCCACGGCCTGCAGTTCAGCGTCTTAACCACTTGAGTCACCGCAGCTCCTTGTTCACCACTAGATCCCTGTACTAAAGTAATTACCTCCCTGTCTCAATGAGATATCACAGATAAGACTTTCAGGTCACCTATCACTGCCTCAAACATAATGCTTTTCAATGGACTCCATTGACAAACTTAGCCGCAGGTCCATCAAGTGATATAGAATGAAACAATGCAAATATATCTGAGAATCAGCCCTTAGCGATTCATCATAAAAAGAAGTGACGCGTTCAGCAGATCGCTCTTTCAGTGCATCAGATCTC